TTTATCATGTTGATTAATTTAGTTGGTAAGCCAAAGTTTTTAAGGATTTTCCATAATATTTCTCTATCTATGCTATCATAGGCTTGTTTGTAGTCTATAAAAACCATATGTAGATCTTTCGCGTATTCGTAGCTTCTTTCCATAACTTGTCTTAAGACAAATATGTGGTCAGTAGTTGATTTATTTTTTCTGAATCCACTTTGGTAATCACCTACTATCTCATCTGTGTATACTTGCAATCTTTTGAGTATAATTAATGATAGTATTTTATATCCAGAATTCAGTAGTGTTATGCCTCTATAATTCTCGACTTTATTTCGGTTACCTTTTTTGAAAATTGGACATATCAATGACTCATTCCATTCTTTTGGTATCTTTTCCTTTATCCATATCTGTTGAATTAGGTCATGTAAGTTTTTTGTTAAGTTTTGTCCTCCTAACTTCAGTAACTCAGCGGCAATTTTATCATCTCCTGGAGACTTATTATTTTTTAGAGTTTGTATCGCATACTGTATCTCTTCTAGACTAGGACTTGGTACTTCTGGTTCCGCTGTGTAGTATAAGGTGTCGTCTTGTTCACCTATTCCTGTTGTTGAGTCTCTGTTAAGGATTTTTTCAAAGTACGATCTAAATTCCTCGGCAATATTTTCCGGTTTTGTAATTAGGGTACCATTATTATCTTCTATCATCCGTATATTAGGTACAAATCCATTTTTAAATGTTTTGCAACGTTTGAAGAATTCTCTGGGGTTGTGTTTAAGGTTTTCGATGTCTTCTAATCGTTCTTTTTCTGCTATCCTCTTTTCTTTTCTTATCAGTGTATTCACTTCTCTTCTTTTGTTTTCGAAGTCCCTTATGTTCTCTGGAGTTGGTGTGTGTATTGCTTTGATTCTAGCTTCATTACGTTCCCTGATTACTTGCTTGCAATTATCATTAAACCATTTCTTTGTTTTTTTTCTTTGTGTAAGTTGGATAACTTTTTCTGCTGATTCCGTTATTGAGGTCTTAATTGCTATCCATGATTCTTCAATCTGTTCTGTGTCGAAGCCCTCTCTTCTTCCTAAGAGATTTGTCACTGTTTCTTGATATGTCTGTAATGTTTCCTTGTTTTTTAATTTATCCACATCATATTTTTCAAGTATTTTTTGTTTCTTTTTCCATTCCATTGACATCTTTACTCTGAAGTCAATTAGGATTAAGTAATGGTCTGTGTCTGCGTCTGCTCCTCTGTAGCTTTTGACATTTTTTATAATCGTTTTATGTTTATTTTCTATGAGGACATGATCAATTTGACTACTATACCTGCCTCCCGGGGATAGCCACGTTTCTTTATGGATATTTTTCCGCGGGAATCTTGTACTGCTTACTACCATATTTTTACTTATTGCAAAGTTAATTAATCTTACTCCGTTATCGTTGCTTCGGTCATGTAAGCTATGTTCTCCAATCGTCGTTTTGTATGTATTTTCTTTACCCACTTGAGCGTTCATATCTCCCAATAATACTTTAATGCAATGACTTGGTATAGTGTCATATACTTGTTCCAGCTCTTCATAGAAGGCATCTTTCACTTCTTTATTTCCTGATTCGGTTGGTGCGTATGCGCAAATAATAATCATGTCTCGGTGGTTCATATTAATCCGGATGTAACATATTCGGTCATTAATAGCCTTAAATTGTTTAACCCATGGTATTAGGCTATTGTGTACAAGGAAACCCACACCATTTTCATGTCTATTTGTTGTTACACCACCATAGAATAATGTCATGTTACATGTTGCTATACATCCTTCGCCTTGCCATCTCGTTTCTTGTAACGCTACTATATTTGCCTTATATCTATCTATTGTATTGATTAGTGTATTAAGCGCTCCTGCTTTATATAACGTTCTTACATTCCAAGTGCCAATCCTAAATCCTTGTAGTCCAGGCCGTTTCCGTTGTGTTTTGTCCAGATCTCTGTCCCGAGGCTTTAGTTTTGGTTTCTTAACAATTAGATTTTTTACAGTGACGGGTTGTTAGCCCGTCGCCAAACCCCCATCCTGGAGGACCAGATCGAGCCAGCTGGCTAAAGCCAGCTCGTAGCTCGGGGCCCCGGGTTCGCCAAACCCGTAGTGCTAATTACTTAGCACCCCCCTGGGGGGATATCTATTACATAATTCAGTATATTATGTAATATCAAAGGCGATACAATATGCAACATTTTTTTGCATTTTTGAGTTATTTACTTATTTATAGACATTTTAAATTTTTAGGCTTTTTAAGTTCCAAAAACGATACGAAGTTTTGGTTATATTGGTTATAACATCAATGATGAGCGATGACTATCAAGACTTAGAAGTATAATAATTTTGTTTACATTTAGTGACACGAATCTGGTTCTGCACCACTACTTGCACCGACACATGTCATATACATTAATTGTAATTATGTATCCCAAAAATCCATCACAAGGAATCATTTTATCGAAAGTAATGACTTATAATTGCTTCCAAATACAATTCATCTATAATACTATAAATAATAATACACAATGACCTCATAGGCGTGCGCACGGGGGCAGCAGAGGCAGCATATGCTGCCTCTGGACTTTATTTGAGACTACCGGAGCCGGAAAATATTAAATAATGGGCCTCGGTAAAATTATATTTCCACAAATGATTTTTTTTTTTTTTTGGTCAAGTATAGATATGAATATTTTATGATTATAGAATTTATCAGTATAAAACTAATAAACCTGTCTACTATAAAAACTGTACAACTGTTTATCCAAATAAACAAATAATCAATACAACTTTAATTTTGATACCCAATGGAAAAAATAGTAAAACTATGGGCTGGGTTTAATGGTGAATTTGAAGAATGGGCCGAATTAATCTCTTGCTGCCCCTGAAACCTAACTAACTAAACCCCCTAACCTGCGCACGCCTACGTCATTATGACCTACTTGATGGAAACTGAAGAGGTACACTCAAAACCTACAATTGTATAGCACAGCTCTTACCATGGTATTATTTAATTTCTAGAGTTGTTGAATAAATACCTAAATTATTGATTATCATAATTATTAGTGATGATCAGTGGGTTTTCGTGCGGTAGTTATTTTTAGAAATATGGTAAATATTATTTGAGAAAAAAATGTTTCTCTTATAAAATTATGTATTCAACGTTATCGATTGGTGTGCCATAAATTCACTTCCTATAAAGTTGAAAGAAAACATCGTAACTTACACGTCCCATTTTTCATATACAACATATTTTAGTTTCTTCCATATTAAATACGTGTAAAATTACAGAGGTCTTCAAAGTACCATTGGTCGTCAAAGAGTAAAGAATTTAAAAAGTGGGAAGGACAGCACGAGCGCTCGAAGCCAAATGTATTTTTAGAATCCAAAAAAAAGTAATAAAAGTATCAACTTCGGTTAAACCATAGAAAAATTATAATGGGAGGGGGAGCGCGAGGGCCCACAGCCCACAGGCAAAGACATTTAAAGAATCGAAAAAAATGTACATTGGAAACAAACTCTAAAGATTGTAGTCTACTAACTACAAATACTTCAACCAAAAATTATATTCAAATTGATAAGTTTATTAAACAATGATTATTTCGAAGGCACTAGCTGTTTATCAAAGTTTCAAAAATACGTTGATAAAAAAATCAACTATAGTTAAATCGTAGAAAAAAATGTGAATTTACTTAATAAAAATTATTGAGCAGAATGAAATATGTGATTAAAATATGTTGTACCTGTATAACGACTGTTAACTTGTGTTTAACGGCTTGTCGATTGACTGTTGGCTGTTGCCTTATATTATATTCTCTTCTGTTCATTGAAATTATTAGAATTTTGAATCATCTCCGATATGATTGACGACGGTTGACTTTTGGCTCAGATGATAGTAGATATTATAATATAATATGATATCGTCATCAGTTTTCGAGTTTTTTACTTCTTCGGATGACACAATACATTTTCTACTTCAGATTCCGAAACAGAATATTATTCAGAGTATTTAAATCTATACAATGCATGACACGGAACTCTGCATAATATAGGCTATCTATACACTACTGTCGTGAGTCTATTATTTTTTCAGGCAACTCAAAATATTGTTTTTAGTTTTAATGGCAAAACAATAATTTAATATAAAACTCTAGAAGTGCCGAGAATAGAGAAAAATTCATAACTGGCTTTGAAATTTACAAAAGTAAAAAAAAAATGGATCTTGCTTATAATATTCTATCTGGGTTAGGGTAAATGTTTTATTAAACAATTAAACTATACTATTCTATAAATAGCTACTGATGTAATTTATAAAAAACGGAGTGATACTACTACAATATACCAAGTAATCAGTAACAACAAATTACCTTTGTTCTATAGTAATAACTATCAATAGCCGTGTACGTAAGGCTTTCCCGTAAAAGCAGGCGACGGCGGTAAAACAATAATATCATAATGTCAATAAATATATCGTTTCCATCTTATAGTCGTATCTACCTAATTAGTATTTATAACCCTTTATAACCTTTTATTATACAAATTAAGTCAAGTTTAGTTTGTACTTTGCAGAGGTCGTTTTGGATATTACTAAAAGTAGAAAGTTTTTTTAAAAAAAATCATGAAAATTTTAGGTTTGTTAGTTAGGTACACATGAATTTACTAGACCCATTTAAGTTAACTAATACCTATCTCGATTAATGCTAAAAATGTACTAGGAAATGTTCACACATCGTCATCTGCAATAAAGTACCTAGGCATAATTATTATGACATATTTTTAAAATGTATTATTAGTAACCACCTATCGAGGTTGTGGATTCAAAATTAAAATTACAAAAATTGAAAACTTTGAATCTTGAACTTGAGATCTGTGCAGTGATATATTTATTTCATTAATGCATGAAGACTAAAGATATCTCCACAGACTTGTATATAAAAATACTGAGCCTTCTGTGCTGTAACCATGATTACAGTGATAGCGATAACGTTGATTTTGATATCTATTTCGTTATGTGTATGATAATAAGCACAACTGTATTTTATTCTTTAAGATTTTTGTTTTCAGTTTTGTAGATTGTTACTTGTTGAGTTATTTATGTGTTTAACTAATAACTCGTCGTTATGAGCTTAAAAATAAAATATTCATGACATAACTATTACCAGATGTACCTAGGTAGTGTATATGCTACTGTTGTGAACTACTTGTGATATTTTTCAAATGCATCATGTAAGTATTTGATTTTTAACCATAGATATTTAATTAATTAATACTGATTCAATAATTCAGGTTGTCGATTCCAACTGATTTACAAGGCCAACCAAGATATCAAACACCAAATTCGGATCAATTAAATATGCAAAATAATGTTCCTCCAAAATGTGTTCCTGAGTAATATCTTTTAGTATTTATGAAGTTATTTATTTTAATTTATGTTGTTCCATGTGTAGGGTTGTTACACCATTATATGACATAAATGATTTGTATCAAAATGCTAAATGTTTTCAAAAAGCTCCTGAAGTTTGCAATAAGAAAAGCAAAAAAGCAGAACTAAATTCTAAAGTATGTAATATGTGATTAAGTTTTAACTCTGCAGAAATGATTGAATTTATTTAAATAATAATAATAGTCATGATAATTAGAAGGAATTAGTGATGTATGTGATCTACCAGTAAAAAACTAATGTTGTATACAAATTTACCAACTTAAGTAATCTATATTTTAAAAATGATTGTCAATATATAAATTATATTTCCTATATATAGGTATTACTATAACAAATAATTTTTCAATAGTAATTGTAAACATATAAATACTATATTAAAAGTCAATATTTAAAAATATTAACTAGGTATCTTTTTATCTATTATATTTAATTTGTTTAGAACAATTTTATTGTACAAAAATTATTTTATCTTTACAATGTAGTAAAGTTTAAATTTTAAACTTATTATGCTATAATGCTATTAAGATTACATTTAACAATTAATATAAACATTATAAACTATTAAGATATTGTTAGATGTTTAATTATTGTAACTACTAATAATTTTTATTTTAAGTGTGTTAACACGATATTACATGTTACAAGTCATATGTATGTAATATATAAATTAAATGACTGCTTAAAATCATTACTTAAATTAACACTAGGCTTTTAACAGTCGTATAATATGTTGATATGTGTATTAGGTGGTATAAAATACAACAGTTTATTATTTAAATACATCTTCAGGTACAGAATTTGTTATTTATTAACCTAATTTTGATTGATTTATAAGACAAATACCTTTGTTTGATGTCTACTTTGCATTTTTTACAGTAACGTTAGATTGATAATCCTGGTTATTGTATTATATTTTAAAGTTCTCCATTACTAATAATATTTCCCAGTTTATCAGTATAACAACATTTGTAACTGCTCATGGCTAAAAAGAGAAATAACAACTTATGATTACTGATTTGTATTGACCATATTTAAAACCGACATTTTTTCATTGGTAGATCCCCTATTCAATAAATTGCAGGTCTATCACAATTGCCATAACATCGTTTTTTGGTTCTTCTTTATCATTTTAAATTTATTTGCAAATAAAATATGTTGACGTATTATATTAGTAGGTATATTACTTGTACATTTTTAATCAATTTCATTAATTAATTACTAATTGTTTCAGAATAAAGACAAACTTCAAATTACTACACAATTTTTATTTGGTCATCATGTGCCACCATATTATTCAGTGTTAAATCATACACTTATGAATAAATATGTAATACACTTATTCAATCCTAATGCACCCACTGCTAAAATTCTGAGGGTTAGTATATTACATTATATCATATATTTTAATAAAAATCTGGAAATCCGCAGCATTTTTACTTTTATTTTAGCAATTAGGCCTTTCACAAGCAGGCATTTGCTCCACTTGAGATTTGTGTTTGGGTATCAATGACGCTGAACATAGTTTTAATGAGTAAAGTTTTATAAAGATAGCAATTAGATGTCAGTATTTCAGTATTTGAAATGCTAATGATAACAATGATATGGTTGAAATGAACAATTTTTTTTTATTAAAATACAATTTGGATGTTTCTAAATTTTCATACAAAAATAATATATCTACAAGTTTTCAATTTAAAATCATTTGAGACAGTTATCTATTTACAGTTCAAACACTTCAATGGCATTAACCATAGATTACATTTTGATTTTATTAATTTGTTATATATTTTTTATTTTTTATAAAATATGTTTAGATGCATACAGAAATTATTAAACATGAACGAGAAATGTTTAATCATTGGCTTTCAAACCTTTGGGAAGAAAATTTGAAAAATCGTCGACTGAATGTCATACCGTTCGTTGAGAATTACATCAAATCTGCTTGTAATGTGAGAAATTATAAAAAATATAAAAGTTTAAAATATTCTTTTTGGCATTTACTATTTGTGTAAAATAAATAAAATGTTACTGTATGTTTTAGTTTTCAAATGATTATATTAAATCACACTACGGTGGTACATTAAGTTCAAAACTGAAGATCGACTATAATGTAAGAGATGAAATTGAAGTGAATAAAGTTGAAATGGTATATTGTAAAAGATTACAGTCTGTAAGAAATAATAATTATTTTTCATCAAACCAATTATTATTCAGTATTATTATTAATAATTAATTATTATAATTTATTTTTTTTAATATCTAGAATACAAATCGTATAATAAAAAATCTTCCTATGAAAATTGATATTGAAAATCTAGAATCAAAAGTTTGTTTTAACGACGGTGTGTTTAATCCACCTCAAAAAATTCCTTGTGAGTATTAACTCTATAATACACTTACATTTATAAGTTATAACCCGCTGGTTCTTCTATTACAAGGCTGCCAAATTTGTTTTGGAAGCCAGTTATAATTTCAATTAAATTTGGATCAAATCTTATAAACAAGGATTGCTTACACTTATGATTCTTCTATAAACTAAAATAGTTCAGTAGTTAGGTAGAAAAAGTCGGATGTGGAGCTAATGTTAACTGGAATACACAATATAATTTAAAGAATAAATAGTAATAATTAAAATACAATAGAATGTTGGCGGGTAAATTCAAATGCGCTGACCTGGGTATTGCTCATACCAGCTGTCTTGTTCTATTGTAGTAATTTTTTAGTTTTAGTTAATTATTAATAATAATTTAATTAAACATCTTATTTTATAGAATTAAATTTATTCACATTTTAATTTAAATAAATAAATGATAAGGTAGGTATAAAAATGAAATGTATTTTTCTTATTTGCTCAAAAAGTGTCAACATTGCTTATCTATATTTAACTTATAAATATTAAATTATGTAAAATTTAAACAAATAAAACCATTTCAGTATTGAATTTTGGGCCGATTGCTTCAATTTTAAATATTATACACTATTATAATTTTAGAATACTTAACTTCTTGTTTTTATCACTTTCAACATACTTACTTTGTGTTCAGCAACCGGCATAGTGTTACACGTTGACCAGAGAGGGCTTTGACCCCCTATAAAATTGGTCCATCCCACTGAAAATGTAACAGAATTTCCCATGTTATTTTTATAAAGGTTTATATTTTAATTTTATCAATTATTATTTTCAAAATTATGATAATTGTCATCTACGTCTTTAATAAAGTATATTTTTTTTAATTTGTAAAAAAAGAAATAATATTTTATTCATTTGTTGTTGCATTTACTAAATACTAAGTATTAATTATGGAATGGAAATAATGATAGGAACCCCAAATCATTGCCTATAATTTAGTCAGTCAAAATCATCTGTTCAATAATAAATACAATCATTTGAATTTATATTTATAAAATAATAGCTAAAAAAATCATAACTATTCATAAAAGTGTTTGTTATAAAAGTAAAAAAAAAATATAGTTAATTGACCTTTTATTATGGTCCTTGGGGTTTTCTTTGGATTTCACTGATATTTTTACTATAAAGTGAGTTATAGTTGTGTAAAATAGTACAATTCAACATAATATTTAAGTTGACAATGCAAAATTGGTTCTACTGAATGAAAATTTGCTGTTATATGTTTATGTTTGTAAGATGTTTGGTGACAAACACAAGCGAGAGTGGCATTTTTTAATTTACTGACATTGTACATTTTTAACTGTGTTAAAGTGTAATTTTGATACGTACCAAACTGATATTTAAAAAATTAAATGTTGTCTAAGTTGCATCAAATTTACTTGAATGATAAATACATCTATTTGCAGCACTAAAGCAATATTGCTTTGAGTCACGTTGATAATTGTTATGTTACTTATGTAATATGCATATAAGAAAATTCATTGCCATTATTGCATATTGTATAACTGTATTGTGTCTTGTGTGATAGCTAAAATGATTTTATACTATGTTGTTTTCAGTTGTGGAAGATGAATGTTGTCGTACACTGTCAAAAAAACATAGTATTGATGTTAACATCTGTTTAAGTAGTATGAAAAGTATTATGAATTTAGAGAAACCTAATAGTTTATGGATTATTCCTGTCAATGTAGAGATTGGTAATCATTGTTATTTTTGATACTTTTAGTGAAGACTATAAAAAACAAATAACAAAATTTTCTCTTTTTTAGATTCTGAGGAGCGTAAAACAATTTATGTTGGAGGAGCATTATGTACAGGACATTTCTCTCAGCAAGAAAAAAGTTGGTATTATCTCCGAAAAGAACTGAAAAAAAAATTCATAGAAGTGTAAGATATTCTATTTTTATAAAAGAATCACTCTTTTTCTAAATAACTTAAGTACCATATTTTATTTTGCTTTTGAGTAAAGAATTGTCTTTATTTTCCTAAAGCTTAAATTTTACTGGCAATCTTATAGTTTTGTCATTGCAACTCAATTAAATATTTATTTTTGTAGTTTGCCTAATGAGGCTGTTCCAAACAATTATAATAATTACAACTATGATGAATGGCAGTTAAAGGTCAGCGGTGTCAATGGCGTTGACAAATCATTCAATTTACTTGTAAGAAATAAACCACATGGTGTACAAGTAAGAATATGTCATATTGAGTTAAATATCTGTGTACAATATTACTATCTTTGTATAATATTTAGCAAAATATCAAACCACTCAATGCCCCAGCAGTAATAATACCAAAGATTGAGTATCAACCAGAATTTGGCTTTGAAAAAATCAGTGAAGAGCAGCTTGTCGAATATTGGCTGGACACCACCTTCAGATGTCCCAAAACCAAATTAGTATTAGGTATTGTACTTCCATTATTCACATAATTATTATATCTCTCGCCTTACACACAATAGAATAATTTGCCCAGTCAGCGTGTGTCAGGGTTAAATATTTTATTTTGGCAATAAAACTCAAATATAACTTTAGTGCCATCAATTGTAAGCTAGGCAAAATTAAGTAATAATAATACAACTCTATTTTTTTCTCCTAGTTTCAGTACAACACAATATGGACCTCATGCAGGTGAAATGGGGAGTTGAAGAGGTAGAGAGTTTAAGTTCAAATGGCAAAGACCAAATCTACCTACAAAGATTGTATCTTACTATAGACAAACTAACACAGTTAGGCAAAGGAGAATATGTACTGTTACACAACCCTAAAAAACCATTTCACGTCGACCTCTACCAGTCATCAGCGTAATCAATCAAAATTGAAAAACTTTTTATCGTACTTAAATTTTTAACAAAACTATTAATTCTTTAGGTATGGAGGTTTCAATTTATTGAACATGTATTTTGTTCTACAACAGACTGAAATTTCCGATTCATTGGTTTGGAATCCTATAGACTCGGAAATATTATGTCCAATTCATAATTACTTCAGAGTTGCACCGTGCATGTTCAGGCCAAATTTTGAGGGTTTGGATGTCCAAAATATAAGTAAGTTATATTTTATTATTTGCAGAAATTTAAAGCTTAACTTTAAAAAAATGTTTAGGTGAGCAAGTAACCAAATTCAATAACGATAGGAAAGCTAAGGAGGATTACGAAACTGCACAACTTCTTAGAAAGAAGAGAATAAAAATGGAAAAAAATAAAGTCAAAAGGAAATTAAAAAGAGAAAATGATATTTTATATAACATCAAAAATAATATGAAGTAATATTATATACACTCAATTCGTTGACACTAGAAAATTTAAAACTATCTGGATATCATTTTAATGATAATCAACAAATTGTAGTTTTTATAAAAATTTATTTTTCATTGTTGATTTGATAGGATCTTTGTTTATGAATGGAAATAAATGCATTGCGCAATATTGTATTTGTTGAGTTTGAAGTTGAATTTAACAATTATGTAATTAACTAATTTTAATTAACTTATATTTTATCCAACATTTATTAAAAGCTGACATCAGTTGAAATGTTTAACTAAAGTTGAATTCATCAATATTTATAAAGAAATAGAAAATATATAATGTTAATTAAATTAGTATTGAACAAAAAATAAGATATACATTTTTATTCTTATAAAATAATAAGTAATGAAAACAAGTAAAATAATGATTAGTAGTTAATTAGTTATTAATCATTGTATCAATGTACATAATTTTATTTACAAAGAATATAAACTGTTGATTATAAATTTATAAAATACAAATTGTAAAAACAAAGCCCGCACATATATTTTGATGACTAATCACTGCTCCTAAGTATCCCTAAAATCCAGTAATCTAAATGAAAATAAATAGTACTTTTTTTTTTCATCTCAAATTTATTTATTTAATAATATTAACCAAAGAAATATTATGTACTCGAAATACAAAGAATTTTTTAATTTTGGATATAATTTGTTAGTTCAATTTTTATGTTAATTTTTTAGCAGTCTGATACAATGTATCTACAACTTTACTCATGCTATTTATATTATCTAAAACTAATTCATAAGTTTCATCGATTTCAGCTTCTTCAAATACTATAAGAATTCCTTCACCCTGGTCTAAGATACCATGGAATTTTTTGTCCAATATCATCTGTGAAAGTTTTCGTTCAACATTTTCCATTGGTAAATTTATTGATTTGGCAACATACTCAACTTGTACTCTGAAAATACAAAAAATAATAAACACTGTTCATAAATTTGATACATAAACTATTCTCTACAATACAAAGTTATAGAAGATTTAACCTGAGTAAAATAAAAGTAATCCTATACAGGAATAGAACAGCAGTAATTATTGTTAAATTATGAAAATAGAATAAGTAAAAAAAAAAATTGAATGCATTAAAGAGTGTGTTAGAGCACTGTTTGTTTTCTCTCTCTGGCCCACACGCAATACTGAACTTATTTACCCAGAATCTTTATTTTATGTTTTTGAGTATCTTAGAGTAAATTCGCCCATTACAAAACCGGTAGAGAATAATATTTTTGAGGGCATAAATAAACCAACGGTTTGCCTATGAATTAGATTGACTCAAAACAATTTTAACATTTAAATTAATTTTATTTTTATTTTGAAAGTTGAGTACAAAGTCCGATAACAATAAAATATAAAATTGATATGTCATACCTTTAAAAATATGAGCCTCTATAATTTCTATAATAGGTGACTTAATTTAAATTACAAAAAAAAACTGTAGGTGAGTGTTTTATTAGTTGAGCATGGGTATGAGAGAAAAAACAAACATTGCACTAAATTTTACTTAATCTCCAGGCAATCACAAAAAAGTAGGGAATGATAATGAATGTTAAAACAAACAATAGGTATTCTTTAAAAATATGATGATTCATCAAGAATGATACAATGAAAATTAAATATTTTTGTACCCCGAAATTTTTTTTGCTTATAGTCTAAAATTTAAGAGAACAATTACCTTGAGTATGGTTCAATGATTCTACACAGATTTTGTTCCAACATATTTCCATAAAGTGTATCTAAATGTGCTCTGACAATTGGATCATCTTCCAATTCTTTTTTATATTCATTTAACGCAATTTGAAAATCTGCTAAAGATCTTTTATGACTAGCCCTTGCAATGCTCTTCATTGCTTCTACATCACGACCCGTATATTTTAATGCTAATTTACCACTCACAATCTGTTGCACATCTTCTGCATTATTTAACATTATCTTTGACAAAAGCATGTACTTCAATGCCTTAAGTGCATTAGATGTACTGTCCACGCTGTCAAACCCTTCAAAAGCTTCATAGAAATATGAATAAGCAGTTTTAAAATCTTGCTCGTCAGCTGCATGTAAGATTCCTGACTGCAAGTCAAGAGAAGACTGCATTTTAGGGGGGCAATAAATTGAGTTTGCAGTCGTTCTAGCAGAAGTTAAAGAGGCCCTAGCCTTGGACAAGTTGTTCAGAGCATGATAAGCTTTGCTTTCCAATAATAAAACGTCAACCAACAAATTTTTATCATCTAGTTTTTTCAATTCTTTCAATAGTACGGAGCCGTGTTGCAACGCTTCTTTAAACATTCCGGAATCGAAGTATAGGGCCATCAATCGGGATTCCAGAGACTGCCTGAGAAACGTTCGCCGCTCTTCTTTCGCCCATTCTATGCACTCCTTGCACAGTTGTAATTCAATTCCGATGCCTGCTTCGAGGTCCAGGAAGAGGTCAACCAGGGACCTCACTAATTTGGCAGCCTTCGCCTTACTAATTTCGGACAAAAACGGCCTGGTCTCCTTAATAAGGGCGGCCAATTCTTTGGCCTTACCTTCTTTCTTTAAGAGTTCACCCTGCGTGAGGATCAGTTGCTCGCGTGCCATAATCCTGTCGTGTTCCGTTTCGACTTTATTCATGGCAAAGTCAGACGGCTTGTTGATGCGCGCTAACATCGTAGCACCTGCCATTTCGATACGTTCGAAAAGTGCGACCACGTAAAATACTTAAACACTGACAAAAGTCCCAGATCACTTTGGGTGTTCGCTTGTAAGGAAGAATAACAATGTATTATATCACGTACGAATCTAATAGGTAACACTAAATAGTAAATACAGGACACTCAGGAACTGACAAGGGGAAAGACTGAAAGAGCATGACCAGCGATTTACTGAAATGAGAAGTGTGACCAAAATAATCAGCAACCAAACAACTACTAAATAGACACAATATTTTAGTATGCTAGATATGGGGCCGCTGCTACAACGGGTTTTGCCGGTTTCGGTCGCGGATGGTGTTGCGGCGGGAAATGAATTCATGACTCATGAGAAATGTCCTTCCCCGGCACCCCCTTGTCTAATCAATTGGTCAACGGGGAAATTTCTGGTAGGGTGAACAAATAAATTGCCGAAAAACGCGGTCGGATGAGCGTTGTTGCTTGGCTCACCAGTGGAAGGAGTCACGCGCACGTTGGCCGCACTGGCAAGGTGACGCCGTGACAATGGCGTGGCGCGGCGCAGGGGACGTCCCCTAGCTCCCAAGCTTTGTTTATTAGTTTTCGGCGTCTGCGTCTCTCACTACAATAATTGTGTGCTGTCGTTCGATACTTTTTCGTTTCCTGGCTCCTGCATTTACAGAGTGAGCAAAGTATATTTTTTGCTGTTGAAGTTGAACCCTGCGGTCGTGTCGATTTTTTTTCGGCACCACCGATAATCTAACCCCTTGTGGTGGATTTTCGACTAATCTCGTGCCGAACGAGATTTATTTGACTCGGTGACGGACGGACACGTGAATTGAACATCGAGAATGAGTGACGTCGAGGTGAGTAACAATTATGCAGTACTGCCGCCCATGTTATTCGTATTAAAACGTGACGCTATTTCTCCGTCGTGTCGGCGGCGCGTGTCGCGTTTTCGAAACGAATTCATTGAATTCTTTCTTAATATTAATTGAGGTTATGTCGAGTTGAGAATAATTTTAGTGTAATTTTTTAATTGCTCTCAATTGTTCTCATCGTGCCCCTCGCCCTGCTTCTGTACTTTATGAGACTCATGTTAACTGACCGTCTGTGTTTTTGTTCCAGGACCGCAACGGGAATTCGAAATCCCGTTCCATTTCTCCCAGCCGAAGCCGTAGCAGATCGCCGAGCGATCACAAGTCTCGCAGTCGATCACCCACTCACTCGAAGACACGATCTAGATCGCTGTCTCGGCCACCTAGCCGCAATGGCAGCAAGTATAAGAGCCGCTCGAGGCATTCGTACTCAAGGTCACGTTCCAGGTCCCGTTCGTATTCGGGTGATCGTCGACGCAGTTACCGCAGTCATTCGAGAGGTTCAGGATCGAGACGCGGCAGACATGTAACTAACATTTTAATGAGAACATTATTTTCCCTCGCATTTCTACTTCCTTTTGTTTCATCTATTTAAAGAAACATTTTGTTTTAGGAAAACCCAAAACCTAATAAATGTCTTGGCATATTCGGCCTAAGTGTGTACACTACTGAACATCAGCTTTACGATATATTTGCGAAGTACGGTTCTATTGACAAAATCCTCATTATTATTGATGCCAAAGTAAGCAGTTAAATATCAATGCATTTCTTGGCGCAATATTATAATTTGTATTGTTTACTTCAGAGTGGAAGGTCTCGTGGTTTTGGTTTTGCCTATTTCAAGAAGCATGAAGATGCAAAGGTAGCTAAAGAAGAATGCTCAGGCATGGAAATTGATGGTCGCAGAATTCGAGTAGATTTTTCAATTACCCAACGCCCTCATACACCAACACCTGGCATTTATATGGGCAGACCAACGTAATTATATTCATTTACTTGACTACATATGTTTTGTTGATTTAGAAATTAATATTTGTGGTTTTTGTATTTTAGGATGCGAGAAGAAAGGTCATCTAGGAGAAGAGGTTATGATAGATATGATAATAACCGATATGATCGTGGTGATCGGTATGACCGTGGAGAACGTTATGATAGATATGACAGAGATAGAGATTATGAGTAAGTAGTTATATGTACAATTTAATTACAATTCTTAAATAGTAATATACATATTTCTATTACAATTTATGTTAACATTATGCTAATCAACAATTATTTATTTTTAGCGATTACTATGAGGGTGGATACAGAGGTGGTGGTGGTGGTGGAGGCGGTCGTGGAGGTGGTGGTGGAGGAGGCCACTACAGAGAACGCAGATCACCATCCTACTACAAAAACAGATCACGTTACGATAGGTCACGTTCACGTTCTTATTCTCCACGTAAGTCTTAGAGGTTTTTAGTCTAAATGTTCGATATTAGTACCCTATCCAGCCTCCAGTGTTTTTTTAAGCTTATTTTATTAACTTTTGCTATCCCATTATTTTTTCTTCGTTTTCTCGGGTTTTTCTCATATAAGAAATATAAGTTAAAAAATAATCAATTACTTAATGCAGTTTTTCAGCTTTCAAAGTATTTAATCAAGATTTCTCACATATTCAATTTTTTATTCATTTCCTGAAGAACATATTCGAAGAAAAGAGAATATTTCAAACTGTCAAGATAATAATATATATAAATTGACTTGAAGACTTCTCGAACTTCTATAGCTTTAGAACTTTTTTTTTTAAATTTAAAAAAAAAATTATTAAAAGAAGATTCTTCAAATTACAAAAGTAGAACACATGAAGACCCATGTTCACAATATGACCCAAGGGTAGAAAATCGGTAGACACTGATGAAGATCTTGAAGTTTGTCAAGAAAATTAACAGTTTATCGCCACTAATTACAGAGGTAAATTTATAGAATGATGTAAATTTCCTCTAAAAAAATAACGTCCCAATAGCTTATAATAACTTAAAAATATCAAATTTTTTGATGTATGCATGAAAAAGAAGTTCTTTCTTAGTAATTTCCTAAAACACTATAATAGGTCTCGCTTTGATTATTTTAGTCCCAAAATTTCGGTGCACAGTTCATGGCGTTAATACTTATTTTCCAATAACTATTTGAAGGGCTAATTTTGTTGGTGTTAGGTTTGACTCAAGTTATGAAATTATATGATATTAAGTTACTGCTGATTTCCTTTTCATTCTCCTATAAACTAATCTTATTTATTCTATCATGGATGAGAGAAGTCAAATTATAAAAAAATGTGATCACACAACAGACAAATTGTACCTTTTAATTTGTCTTGTGTCATATTTTGTACAGAGTATTATGTACTTTAGGTGTAAATGTTTTGTCTATAACAAATTTATAGTTACAAAATGAATAATTATCTGACTAACGAGTACTGAAAACCTGATATATATATTGTTTATATATATCGTCTAATAAAATAAAAAATTGAATGTGTTATAATCTCTTGTGGCGAAAACTCATTAATATTTTGTATTTATTGTATAGAAGGTGATTTTGTTATCATGATTAAGTGTTTCTCAGATATATTTTTTTCCCTTGTGTATACGTACAATTTAAAGTACCTGTTTGTATGAGTATTCTACATATAAAAGTACTTCAAATTGTAAGTGTATTGATATATAATACAAATTATCTGAGAAAGTCTTAATTCCTTATGCAATCTCCCTTCATATTTTTTTTTATAAAATATTAAATGATTATTATTACTCCAAAATGATCCAGTAAATAATTACCAAAGTCTAATATTACTATTTATACAGTAAATTTTCAGATTAAATAATGAAATTGGGTACTTAAATTTGTTGCTAGTTGGTTATCGTCCTGCTACCATATAAAATGTATTACCCTACCAGGTTGGTGACTGTCCATTGTACTAGGTTGCTTAGTATATACTGTAACACAACTTCAAGTTCAACAAATAGGGGCATTGTGTAGTTAATAATTAATATTTTTTGTATAGATGAAAAGTTTGTTAAGATCCTTCAATATTATATTTTATTTATTTTCCGGATATTTTTTTGTTCAATTAATTGAAATCGGAATTAACTATTGCAGGAAGTAATAACTCATTTTTGTTAATTTGTAACTATATAATCTAATAAAATTAGGTAAGTACTGCAATAGCAAATTACTGATACCAATATATTTTCAAAATTTTGCTAGTGGTTTGGATTAGAATTTATTGACCCTTAGGACACATGATAGAGATGACACATGATACACTAACCTATCCTACACAGTGGATGCAATATGTTCATATACAGATCGAACAAAATAATGATATTTTAGTTGAAATACCCGCCTAATGTAAAGTCTTGTAGGATGATAATTTTTAAATGGTTCAAGGGTAGAGCGATAACCAACTAGTACACTTCAATTTAATATTTGAATATGTATATTTATATTATATAAACATTTATATCTTATTATAATTAATAATTAAGCTCTTCGTTTTTTGTTTTTTTTTTGTTATCTTGAACACAGGTCGTAATAAAACCTAAATGAGCTGGAATATCATCAACGCAGGAATGTTGTGTGAAGAAATAGAATATACATAATTTTTTTATTGCCCAATTTTTTTTTTTTTTTCAAACACAAAATAATTTTTTATCTTAATTATTACCACTTTGTAACAAGACAATTAGTACTATTAAGTTAATCAACTTCATTAATTTTTTTCATTCATAGGAACTTTTTTTTTCTTTACTAATTATTACTATGTATTTGTATTTTCATTTGTTCTGCTAAGGTGCGGAAAGAGTTTAAGACATTTTCTTTGAAGACTAGGGATAACATTGTAATGTGAAGCATTTGTCAAGTCTGAAGAAACATATAAAAGGAGTGAAGATGTTTTAGTCAAACAGTTTGACGTTATAAATTTAGTGTCACAATTTTAGTTTTTCACAATATTTTTAGGCTCACCCTATTTAATTGCTCCTACCTAAATTGTTTTTGGTAAATATAATCAACTTGTATATATATAATTTTTTTTTTAATTTAAACTTGTCTGACGCTACATTATACATATGTTTAAATTAATTAATTATGTAATAAGCAAACAGATTTAAAAGTGAATAATAAAAAGTTTTCGTATTCTAAATATATAATATTACTAATTAATTTCTTTCCTCAATCTGCTAAATCCTATTTGGAACATTCTTCATCCTATGAATTTCAATAACCACATGAGTGTTACTTCATTTTTTTAATATTTTTTATCTTCAATAGGAAATGGTTTTATCAATCGTAGAAAAAACATTACTCAATTGTGGATGTGTTGATGTAAACTTTTTATTTCTTTATTATTAATCACGGGTATGTGTAGAAAATTGTTCATGCTATAGTAATAAATAAGTTTAAAACTTATGTTTTTTTAGTGTACAATTATTATTTTAACAATTTGACTAAGTTCTAAAGTATGTATAATATAATTTTATAGAAGTAATATACCAGAATGAAGTTATAACTAATGTATTTTTCTTTGTACAAGTTGACTCGATAATTTTTGACATGTCACATGTTGTTTGCACTACTTTTAAAATAATAATTTGTACTTATCTTATCTTATCTTTTGTTAACATGCTAGTTAAAACTGGTGTTAATTCAAATGTTTTGAGTAAGAAAATTAGAAACTATATAACAATTATTTTTAAAAATATGTTTCCAAACGTATATTGAAGTTCTCAAAAAATTATTCTTTGCTTTACCAAAATTCATAAATAATGTCTAAGAATTGAGATTTTCATCAACAACTATTTATGTCTTATTATAGTAGTCACACACTAGTGGTGGTGGTAAATTGTATCTGTCTTTTAACATTGCTGCAGTGTTTGGGGACCACTTTTATGCTGTTGAATATTATCATTATAAATGTGTGCTAACAGTGTTAACTAGTTACCATCTTCGGATTATGACCTTTTTTACAATAATTGATTACATATATGACCTAAAAAATTATTAATCTACCATAGTTAAGTTATAATTGGTATTTAATACTTGAGATTATGACAATGAGTCAACACAATTTTGAGCCATAATAGTTTGTTTTCCTTAATGTGATTACCAAACCAGTAATGAATTTAATAACAATAATACATATAATTTACAATTGAAAAATTTATAATTTATTGATTGGTAAAACGGAAAAATAAATACATGGAAATAATTATTTAACCTCATGTTAAATTTTGATTTCTTTACCACCTTAAAATTAATAAGCAGTTATTATAGAATAAAACATATGTAAATTAGATTACAGCATTAAATAATCATAAGTAGTTCAGGTTCAATAAATTTAAGAGAAACTCAAAGGAATTAAATAAAACAAATACTGGAGGAACTTAAACCATACTGACAAAAAAACTAAATAATTATTTAACACTTAAATACTATTATATAATAAATGTCAGGAATTGCCAAAATGTTTGGATCTCCTATAACCATGTATGATCCAAGTAGTATCTTTTGAAGTAGCAACTTCCAGTTTTTAAGTTTGGTGTATATAATAAAGCAATTATGATCATTCAAAACATGGCAACCCTAATAGTATTAACAAAACAATGTTACATATTATACAACAATCATACATCAATAATGGTTAGGTAACAAATATTCCTTCTTAAATAATATCAACTTTGTACCATGTCAATACAATTTTTAATTAATATAAGTAATGTAAATGCAACAATTGATACTTTAAAGAGTGAAGAGAATTTAACTGTTTTGAGAACTTATATCTACATGTATAAATAGTAAGTAAGTAAGTAATAATGCTGAAAATCTTTTAGTTACTTCTAAACAGCAAAAACCTCTGATACCCTACACATTCTAAATTATCACATTAAATGTATATATTTTATTCCCTCAATAACAGTGTATAGCGAATAGATTTTTTTAATGCCAACGATTGTCCAATGTAAATAGGTTTTCACTGTTAATTTTAATATTCAATGATCTTGATTAATCATAATATGATGTTTTAAATATAAATATAGATATTATGTAGAACATTTTGGAAATCTAATGTTCAATTACCACAGTATTAAAATATATAGGATTTAAAATAATTTTTGGTCAAGGTTTATCCGTTAACTAAGTTATATAACGGATTAAGATCATTTAGATGAGTACTTAATGGGTGTATTCAATTACGTCACTGCTGGAGTGTCTGTTATGTTCAAAATCAAGTTTTGTAGATCTTTTTGAGCTTCACTCGTGGAAACTTGAGTAAAAAAATCATCCTCATTTTCTTTGATGACATAAGGTGTACTATCAAACTGATAGTGTATACCTAACACAATGTTGAATGCTGACACGTCATACCCATGACAACTTGAATATCTGTACTGTGGTTTCTTGTCATATCTACATCCTTTGGTTTGCGCCCCTGTGGAAAAAATGTCAAATAATGATCATAACATTATGTCAGTGGCAACAATCGCCATCAAATTTCTCTTCTTCAGGCACATACCTATGGGGGATATGCATTCACTGATGAGGGCACATTGAATCCACGGCAACATGATGTCTTGATGCATGTCAAGAGTATTATACACAATCAGTTTGTTGACTAGGACCAAGGGAAGGAAGAAAAAATTTTCTGCAGGTGTTCGAAAATAATCAAACATTTTCGGGTGTGTAAGTGTTGTTGTGGCCATTCTTGTCTCCCAACCGACTATTGATTTGTTGCTGTAGATAGTGAAAAGTTTTGAAACATTTGGAGATATAATCCGAACATTTGGATCGAGAAACATCACCGCACCAGCATGATTCAATGCATCCTAAAAAAACAATTAAAAGAAGTAACATTTTTTTTGGACACCATGATGCCATACACAAAAATATTTAAACCGAGTATAAACTATCATACCTGTAACACAAGAGGCCGATACGCTTTGATATGTGTACGACTTACATGAGATGGAAATTTTGACAGATCAAAATCAACAATTGTGCACCGAGTGTTGTTATTACAAAACGATTGCATCTACAAAGTATAAATTAATATTATTTTGTTTACAAAAGTAAAAAAAAAAAAAATAGCACATTAAGTATATCTTACCAGGATAAGTTGGTAGTCAGATATTCCCAGATTGTAAACAAGTATTGCTCGGTCAGGCAAGTACTTGGCCACACAAGTCACAAGCCCAATAGCTTGACTGTGTTCCCCATCCAACACATATGTGACTACAATGGGAAGAGTAGTGTTCTTCCAAGACGAGTCTGGATAAATGGCCGGTTTTGGAACAAAACCCAATGCATACAGATAGTCTTCGTTAACAACCAATTCCTTTTGTTCGGCCACCTTCAAATTGTCCTGGAAAAAAATAAAAAATCTGATGTTTAGAAACGACACTCACCTGACCCTGCAACGGGTTAAATTACTTTGAAGTTTTTAAAGTTGTTAATCTGCTTGTGCGTTTCAGTGACCAGGGTCTCTATAGCCGGTCGACTCAGACTGTTTTGAAACATTAGGAACATTATGCTGAACGAAAAGACGGCGATAAAGCAGAAAAGCATGTACCGCGATCGCAACCTAAGGTATTGTAACTTAAACATAGGGCTTTATTTGTTGTCCACACCAGTTTGAGTGAGTACAGGGCAGGTGCGTTCTCCACTATTTATATGAATCAAACCCCACTGTTTTGAGATCACAACCCGCGCTGAGAAATAATAAATTATATACCTACTACTTAGATCTTATGGAAGTGTTGAAAAAAATTGCTGTACAAGCGTACGCCGTACAGTAAATACTATGGAGGTACACTAATTTTAGTTTGTACACTGACAGGCGACGGCAATTGTTATCAGGATAGAGAAGATTCGTTGATAAGCTTTATCACTTTTCAGTATCTTATATTACTTATTATAAACTAAGGTCTATATGTACACTGTAGACCATAGAATAATAAACACTTTTGAGTAGACACTCGGCATCGAAAAGATAGTTTTTTTTATTGTCAAATGTTAGGTAATTAAAGTAAGTAAGATAAGTAACATTCTGATTTCATCAACACGTTGAGCGTAAATAAACTAACATATTTTGATAAAAATACAATTCCAAAAATTATAAATACTTAGTAAGTATTTTAAACTAAAAAACACGATGTTTCCAAAAATCGAGCATTTTAAAGTTTTTTGACAAGAACTTTCAATGTAAGTTTGAGCTAGTATTACTTTTTAAAAGTACCATCAAATTAAGTATTTAAAAATCCGCGTTTTAAAAATCAAATTCCAAAACGTCACTTGAAAGCTAAATTACATTTTTGCCAAACTTAAAGTTGTACTTTTGGATTTAAATCGTGATAGGTACTTTTGTATACTCAGAAAAGTCAGATCAATAAACTGCAATATAGATTATTTCATTATTTCAATAATTATTAATTAATGTTCCATTACCATGTCCATTTGTTCAGAGTAGGTATTTAACTGAACTTGGATTTTCATATAAACTTATGTATGAGTTAGGTAATTATTAATTAATATAGAAATACAATTTTGACCAAAACGGCAAAACTTACAAATTAAGTTTAAGTGATTGAGTTTTTCAGTTTGTACATTTCTATTCAGTATTCGAATAAGTTGCAAAATTAACCACGACATTATTGCTATTTCACAAATTGTACAGTTATGCACACAAATTTGAAAAAAAATATAAAAAAATTTAATTTAATAAATAATAATTACTCAATTTGTTCTACTATGCTTTCATGAAAATCGCTCAAACTTAATTTGTTAGTTATGATCACACACTTCAAATTACAGTTATCTATAGATAAAAACAATATATTGTTTTTTTTTCGAGTAATCGAGGTTTTCGCAAGGGAATGAAATTTTTTTCGACTTAGCAAGGTTTTCGAGGTTCTACTGTACTACAATTTGTTACTAAGCCGCTTACAATTTGTAATCAAGTTTTACGTGGTTTCTTAAAAATAACATGAACAGTAAGCAAAGATAGGTAGATGCTGATTTCATCAACATGTTCAGCATATAAATACTGACATTTCTATAAAAAATCGCTTGGGAAGTAATAATTGCATTCTGTAGTGTTTGTTCTAGGGTCATAATATAAACTGTACCTATTAAAAACTAGTTTTTCAAGTTTTCGTACCTAGCCTTTTTTTTATCTATATTTATTATACTACATAAAAATGATTGACGTGGAGTACTTAATCGTAGAAATTGAAAAGCCCGAATATCTTTAGAAAGCCACTAGCAAAGCTTATGGATAGAGATTCAAAGAAAAAATCTAGGATACAAGCGGGAATGAACATGTTCCACAGTTTTCAATCATAGAGTATAGGAAGAGAAAAGTAAGTTGAATAACGCCTAGTGCAAAGTAAAGATGCGTCCAATCTATATTGGAATGGAACAGGTCCAGCCTCTAAAAATAATTTACAAAATAGTCCTTCGCATCATTGCTTTGTGAACGACCTCCAGTATAATCATTCTTTTGCACTTCTAAATCGTCTAAGCTATTGCTTAGCGTATCTTCAAAATTTACACCGTCCTTCTTCTGACAACATTATGAAGTTTACGATATGCTTTAACAATTATATCGGAAAAATTTTGTTTTACATTTATTTGCCAGTATGCCAAAAAACATTTATACCTTCTCGCTCTTGACAATCTATAGTTAAAAATTATTTTCTATTTTATTTTATTATTTTCATTTGGTCAATACCATATCCCGTAAAACGCGTTAGTAAATTTTTATGAAGACAAAAAGCTTCATCTCCAATTACAACATATATGGCTGAAGATTTTAACTGGCATTTAGCAAAAAACAGGTGCTGGTAACCCAAGTTGTTTCGAGAATAAAAGTTTCCTAAGGGACATTCCTTAAACAAGGTGGAATCACTTAAATCACATCAATAGTTATAAAGCAGTATTCTGCTTCTGCTACTGTCATTAGAAATATCGAGAACAATTTCTTATAATTGAAACAAATTGAACCAGAGTTTTTAAGATTGACTCATCGTATATGTTTTTCATCAACAGCTACCACGCAGTTGGAAAATTGGGTTTTTTTAAACACTTATATGCTAGGTATATACCACGCCACTGTTCGAGACTTGGGTCTGGCATTTTAGTTGGCTGCAGAATATTTCAAACTTCTTCACACGTCTCTTAAATAGAGAATAATATATTTTTATATCATTCGTTCTTTCTTTTTATTCAAGATATGTTCAATATTTTAAAACGAAATTGCATGCCACTAATTACAAATACGCACACCTCTTGATCGCGCTTGTCCCATTCTTAATAATTTGTCAAATATTGATGGCAAACTGCATAGAATATAAACAATAAAATAGTTAACGCAATAAATTATCATCATTCGATATTACCGTACCCTCTGTGGATTTTACAGAAATCTGAGTTATATTCTCATGAGGGTAAAAATGTAGTAGGTATGCACAAGACAAGTGCAAAGTATCTACAATAAGGGCATGGGGTGCTGTAGCATCCTAGCACAGTTGCATCCCTGCCAGTCGGCACAGGATTATACAAAATAACTTCATTGAGATTTGGTCCGCGTGTTGTTTAAGTTTGGCAACACGTGCGACATTCGCAATGTTATTCTGTTTGCACGGTTTGATTGTGGACATCCGGTCAATTAGTTGTCAACAATAGGTCTTAAGGTCAATTTACTACGAAGTATAATTGACTTCACACACGAGATAAAATATAAATATTCACTGTTAAGTGATAATAACTCAAAATTATATGTAATAGGTACTTTGTTTTGAAAGCTAAAACCATCTTATAGTAATAATAATTATATATGAATCATGTATACATGATATATTATACATAATATATTATGTGTATAAGACTGGAATGTATACAGAGTGATTGACCAAGCATGCTCACCCCCTTTTTTTGTTTAATAATGTATATTTATACAAAATCTGATTTTTGGAATCTTTAAATATACTCAAAGACCATATTTTAAATTTCTTGAGATTTCTTATACCACCTAAGGAGTGTCATGCGGCGATGCAAACTTTTATTTTTAGTTTAAAAAAAAGATGGGAAGAAATCTTTTCCCGATTACCGCTTTCGTTTCAATCATTGTAGTTGTTTAGCAAGTCCCAGGTAACAACTTTTAGTATATATAATTAGGTACCTAATGTCATATGTTTTAATAGTCCGATTAATTACCTATACGAAGTATGTTGTGTGTTACCTACTGTGTTCTAAATCAGAGTAGAGAAACAACTGACAAGTCCTGAATAATATAACGAGGACACGAGAGATGCTGACTAATTAGTATTTAATAGGTAATTACTAATTAGTATATATCATTGAACTTAATCGATAAGGAAATGTGGATGCTAATTCGGCATGCTCTCTACAGACAAGTTTCTGAGTCGGTATAGTGCTGTACGCGCGCGTCGTTTTAGTTGTGTTTTATCTTATCGATTATTCGCGTTGTGAATGTCTTCAAACATGACGAGAAAAAGGTCGGTCCTGTCTTGACGGTAAAGTCACCAGCAACAGATGGAGTCCGACACACCGGTGTCCGTTGCTTTTGGAAATCGGCCGGTACCGCATGTTCCTCTACTCCGGGCCGGGCAGTTGGACGTGATCATGCCGTACCGAGGCACGGTGAACGTGGCAAGGGTGCTGCGATGGACGGTGGCGGAGCTGTTCGGGGAACGCTAGTCGTATGGAGATGCAAGGAAAACGAATAGGTTGGATACGCCACCACTTACGAGTTAAGGTCCACTCACCTGGTCAGGAACGCCGGTCACAATATGGTGCCGCACGATATCAACTGCTGCATGATCGTCCGGCTCAAAAGCGGTGCACCGTTCGCCTATATCAGGCACTCTAGCAACTCAAAGTTACTAGAGGGCCAATTTTTAGAAATTTAAAATCTAGCGGGTCAGAGCATAGAAAGCAAAAAAAAAAAAAGGTCATTCAAAATATACATTTTAATTAGCATTTATTTTGTTTATAATGAAATAGGTAATACAAAAAGCGTTATTGAAAATAATTTAATTAAATATTTAAATATAAATAGATATTTGCAGTTTAGTGAGAGTTTTGAGGATGTGTGGCTTCTAATAAAATGTAGTGCGGGCCGCCAGTTGCCCACCCCTGGCCTATATAATATATACAAACTATACAATGCAACGTATAGCTGCAGTGTAACGATGTAGCCTCTTTTCCGAATATTTTACAAGTATAATATTTTAATTCTAACAATAGTCATTATACTCGTACTTATATATATTTCCTTATATTGGTACGTCATGTCACATTCACCTCATTGTGAAAATTTGAAATGACAACATAAAGAAGTAATAATATTTTTTTAATTAACCCGTTTCCATATAGAGTAGGTTATTTTTAGTAGAATTTTAACTGTGGGAGAGGGTGCAATTGGTTAAAATACGTGCGTATATAAGGCGAGGATTTATCACTATAAGATCCCGGGTGATCACCCATCCAGGAGTTAGTGGCACAGGCTGATGCTTGACTTGAAAAACACGTTTTTGTGATTGAAGCCAACCACCATGCCACACCGGGCTACTAATAATATTATATTAATTATTAATCACATTGAAGATTGATTTTTGTCAATTTCATAAAACGGGTTAATTGTATGAAATTAAAAAATAAATACATATATTAAAATGTAAAAGTTAAGCCAAAAGGCTAATTTTCATTTATTGTGCATGAATATATAATATTGTATCATCGTTGTTTATTTATTAATAAATTATGCAAATTATATATGTGACACTCTCTAACATAGTTCTCGTGTATGTCATAATAATTTATATGCATTTAATTTTAATTACAAATCGCTAAATAAATTGCATTATTATGTGAACATTTAAAAAAAGGTAGCCTAGGTCAATATTTAATAATATGCTGTATGCATAGGATACATAAATATATAATATGGCAAACATATAGTTCTAGATTAGTTCTTTGTCACAAATGACAATTTATTTATTTTTTTTATTTTTTATTTTTTTTATTGATCTTAAGCTTCGGCAACTGAGGCCATTAGCTGTAGTAGGATTTGTATTGTAGGTTTGTTTGTATTGTATATTTTGGGACGGTAGGGGGGAACACGTGTGTGTTTGTTTTTGGCAGAATTTCGAATGGGGCACCCGTAGGTTTCTGCCATGCCCCGGGGGTAGACCTTTTTTTATATTAAAAGACTGATGTAGTTGTATTATAATCCACATTCTGCGTATAGGACAAGCTGTACACGCGTAAAACAGCCGTTTTATTGGAAAAAAATGATATAAGTAGGTACTTTAGTGTTCAATTTTAATATTTATATTTATAACCGTACTGCAACAAACGTAATTAAAATGCTAAATGATATGATAAAAATACAATTTATTTGCTAATATCTGTTATATCGTATTCTTGGGATTGAAAAACATGATATGGACCATATAATTTTATAATTATGTTTCATGCTATGGCTGCAACATAAATATTAAACGATATAATAATTATTATCGTATGCATCGGTTAGTAATTATTTTCAGTTTGTAAATAATGATGCATTCATCATGTATAAAGAAATAGGCGTACCTACTAGCTATTCTTTATTCTCTTTCCTCCGCTGTAAATTCATTAATTTCCACTGCAAATTCAGTGGAATTAGATTTGTTTTTTGTAATCTAAGAGATATTAAGTCAGCATTTAATGTGTAATTATTTAATTATGTATAGTACCTATAAATTTATTTTTTATTTTTACCCCTCTCTGTTATAAGTTATAAAATTTTATTTTATTTGTATAAACATTTTAATGTTTACTGTAAATGTAGTTAAATTATAACTGTTCTTTAAGGGTCCTGTAATATATGTTATAAAAATGTTGCAGTATAATATTATGTGGCGAGACAATATTCAAGACGGCGGAAATATGTTTGCCGCTCCATTCTGAAAGTTCGTCTGTGCGCATATTAAACACAATATATTATGACGTATCAACCTATACAACTTATCCCTATATGGAACGTGTAACAAAAATACAAATTATAAACACAAGTACTTATATCGTATTTCGAGCACATCACAAGACGTACACACAAACACAAATACGGCGTATAACAATAATAAACACACCGCCCAATCAATTATATTATTCGAGATCGTCGCGCACTATATACGTCACGAGCCAAAAGCTCGATTGTTCGGGTGGAGGGAGGGCTGACATTCTCACACGTTATCGTATGAAATCGTCGACGCTACGCAAACGATTCCCATCGACCGCACGCAATATAATAAATATTATATATTATACACCGGTGCGCACAACGTGCTCGCTCGCCTAACCAGCATCCATATTATAATGTTTTAACCAGTCGTCTGGAGAGTCGGACTCCCTATTCTCGAAGTTCGTTCAATCTCTATATGCGTTTTGTTTTTCCGCGTTATTATTAATATGACACCCGACATAACGTGCGCAGTGACCAGCCAGCGGAATAACGATTCCAAATGACATAGACTTAACAACAATATTATATATTATAATATTATACATCGGACCGATATCGACGGCGACCGCGCAAGGTCAGGTATACTATACCGTAGTTTTTATACCGGGTTCATCTCTGCAGTCCAGCGTACAGTCCGCCATCATGCGTCGCGAACTCCAAATGCGGCTGCCGTGGTGCGTCGTCTCGTTGTTCGCCGCCTTTTGCTGCTGTTCGGCACGAATCGACGTCGAAGACAACCTCGACGACGGAGCACTGTATTTGTCACCCATGATACGCGACGGTCGGATAGACGAAGCCCGAGCCGCCTGCAAAGTGCTCCTGGACAACAGCACGGCGGCGGCGGTGGACAGTTGTGCCGGTTACCTGACCGTCGACGAGGCGCTCCGTTCAAACTTGTTCTTCTGGTTCTTCCCAGCCGCGAACGGGTCCAGCGGCGCACCCGTCGTGCTGTGGCTGCAAGGAGGCCCGGGCGCTCCCAGCCTGTACTCGGTGTTCAACGAGCACGGTCCGTTCACTGTGGACGCGGCCGGCGTTCTACGGCCGCTCCGGCACACGTGGACGGCCACGCATTCGGTGCTGTACGTGGACAACCCGGTGGGCGTGGGGTACAGCTTCACCGGCGATGATGCGGGTTACAGCACCAACCAGACAGCCATCGCCCGGAACCTGTACACCGCTTTGGTGCAGTTCTTCGCGCTGTATCCGGAGTATCTGCAAAACGAGTTCTATGTGGCCGGCGAGTCGTATGCCGGCAAATACGTGCCAGCCGTGTCGTACGCTATCCACCAGAACAACCCAGGGGCCCGGGTCAAGATCAATCTCAAGGGGCTGGCTATTGGCAACGGGCTCATCGACCCCGTAAACCAGATGGTATACAGCGAGTTTTTGTACCAACACGGGCTCATCGACGGTACCATATCCATACCATTATTTTTTTAATCATGTATAATAGGTATTATATGAGTTAGGGAAGCATTAAATGTGTAGGCACTTTGGCTGGCTTTTATCATTTCTTCAACCTTATTGAGTAATAACTAAAAACCCAAGTAATGTTTATCAGAGAGTTATATTCGTTTTTTTCAAAGAACACCTGCTAAGATTTACAGTTTTTATAGTGGTTTTTGTGTAATAGCAATTATAAATTATCCATAACTATAGAAATAATGCCTACCAGGTATTACTTATTTACAATGGCCAAAGCATTAGTATTGATATTGGGTATAATAAGTAATAACACATTAACACCCACTGTAATACTTAATTTGGTACATTGTAATTTGTCACTTTATCAATTATCAGACACATTTGTTTATGAACGTAGTAGTTTGGTGTATAAGAGAATGGTGAAGTTAGAGTTTTAAGTCGGACTTAATCTCTAACTCTTAACGGTAACAACCATATGTAGCTTATCGCTTTTATGGTTCCGATCTGCGTATAAAGAAGGTGATCTTTGTATGAACAAATTTTTAAGCAACGGACACGATAGTTTCTAGAAAAGACTTCAAAAACTACTTAACTTTATTTCAAATTTTTGACATTATACTATTTCTGCAGTATTACGTAGTGGTTGAGAACTTACAATTTCGGCAGTAAACTGTATACGGAATAAAATGTATTCTTATAACGAATATTAAGGATAGTCTGCCGATATTCGAGTATTCACCTTAACATTGAACTTAACATTGAAAGTACGTAACTCTATACTATTATCAAACAGCGGCTTGCCATCATAAATTGGCTAGAATAAAGTATAAATAGTAATTGTCGACGAGGTCAAGGGGGGTTATTTTATATACCATTAATCATCAAATAGAAACCTAAAATCAATTTTGAAACACCTAATGAGAAAAATTTATCACACTCACTCGTTGTGACATTAAAGTACAAAATATTTGTGTGAGTACATATTTTGCTATAAAAATAATAAGTACTAATCACTAATGAAACAGTTATGATACTATAATGGGTATTTTCCCGGTATCAAAACGGTCCAGCTCCGCCCATTCTTAAAATAAAATGTCAACTATATATTTATACAATCCAAACGTATAAATATAAATAAGAGTATATATACTCAATGGGACGTTTAGATTTACAATTTCCCATTTGTTTTATATTATGTAAACCGTGTTTTTTTACTTTAAACACTGTCCGTCGGGTACCTAACAAGTCAAATATCATATAAATTATTATGATTTACTATCCTTTTCGACATTTTAAAGACTACCTTTACATTTTTTTTTAATAAAGATTTTGTTTTTTAACGGTAATGCTCATTCTACTACACTTTTCAAACAAAATAAAATAAATCTTACATACATAAATGCACAAATATCTTGGAAGTGAACAAGTCTCATATCAAATGATTGTGATCAATATTAAACATTTTTTAATTACTATATAGTGTGCACACAAATAGTGTTGATAACTTGTGCATTTATAACAAAATATACTATTGTAAAATTTAAATTGCCTGCCATCATATTACACCACATAATATGGTTGAAAATATTTTAATAAAATGGTTGTTATTTGAATAAATTAAGAATATTTAATGACCTCATAACATTTTTAAACTCATAAGAGTTATGAATAACGTAATATTATGTTGAAAGAAAAAAAATTGTTATGTACAAATAGTAGTATAAATAAAACATAGAATAAAAAAATTCAATATGCGTGACTCATAGACGGAAAATTTAGATACTTATATTAAAACACTGAACAAATAAAACTGTTATTTAATATTTTAAAATATAATGAGTGTCTTTTGCTTAAAAATGATTTCTGTGCCAGCTGATTTGATTACGCATTTGATGTATTTGCCCATTGGCATATTTCCAAAATCCACTTTTCATCACCCAATTTGTGATCGATGAACATTTTAGTAATTTATTTATTTTAACAAGTAAATTTCATATTTTCCAACATGATATACTATATAGTATTGATAGTACCGGCGACGCATCACGTATGGTTCAGATATTTTATTGATGTAATTATTAGTATATATACCTACAAATCCGATGTCGGATGAAATTGTTTCAAAACTTTTCACGAGGAAACAATTAATTATTTAATGTACCTAGTTCTGATATCCGTGTTCATCGTACTATATTAAAGAGTATAAGCTATCATAAAATTATTATGTACAAAACAAATTCAAACATATTTAAATCACGTTTGATCATTAATTTCGTTTTGACACGCATATCATTTATATCGTTGCAGAGCACGGCAAACGACTGTTCAAAGAGCAAGAGGACTTGGCCAGAGACCGGATCGCCATTCACGACTACAAGGCCGCGTACGACGCGATGACCAGGATGATGATCACCACGCCGTCGCTATACAGCGAGCTGACTGAAATGCGGAACATATACAACGTGGTGTGGAACAGGAACCCGATACCATTCGAGGGTGGCTACTGGGACCGGTACGTGCAGGGGCCGGTGGCACGGGCCGCGCTGCACGTGGGCCGTCGCCAGTGGTCGTCGGTGGACGCGGTTTACGAGCGGATGAAGTACGACATTCCGCTGTCCGTGGCACCGTGGCTCTCCGAGCTCCTGGACGCCGGTCTATACCGCGTGCTCCTCTACTCCGGACAGCTGGACGTGATCGTACCGTACCGGGGCACGGTGAACGTGGCCAGAGCGCTTCGGTGGTCGGGAGCGGAGCGGTTTGGGAACGCTACGCGAACCGCCTGGTACCCCGTCGGCGATGTGGCCGGTTTCGCGACCACGTACGGCCCGCTCACCGTGCTGCTGGTCAGGAACGCTGGTCACATGGTGCCGTACGACCAACCGGCTTGGGCCCACGACATGATCAATCGGTTCACGTCCGGCAAGCCATTTGACTGAAACACCGCTTGGCCGCGACGCATGTCGATCCATAATAATATTAAGTGAAATTTAATATAGGTGCATTATCGAAGTTGCATATACCCCAAACCGCCATAATAACCGCAAGTCAGCTTTTCTCAAATCTCTGCCAATATTTCTGAAAACCCGTTTTTCGTGTCCGTTAATTAATTTGCTGTGTGTTGCGATTTAAGTTTTGTGGCTGCAAAATGTACACGTTCTAGTCAGAAGGACGACTGCAATAGTTTGCGATTACAATATATAGTTCAAAGGTTCAAACCGTGGACATTGTTGATGAAGGTTTCGTCCGTCATCGGGAAGTATGCAGGACTGTGTGCTTGGAGGCAACTCCATTAGCTGTTTCCGGAATATAATACAGTAAAACTTAAGTACAATATATATGTAGCCATGAAGGTAAATTATATCACATTCGTGAAGCTCAGGCTAATTATAAATCTACTCTCATCGACTGTTGAATACTTGCATGTCAATTTCATAAAACGGATAAACTTTATGGAATGATAGACAAATATGTTATATTATATAATTGTGTTACATATTCAATTAAAATTTAAATTATTTTCTTACTGTATAGTTGTACCTATAATGTGTTACTATTTCCATATATTGTATATTATATATTATTATTATTTTATTGTAGTATAAAAAATTGTGCAAATTATATGTTTATGTATCATCACTCATTCACGCTGTAAGGTATTTATCGTGCATTTCATTAGGGATCTATTATTAAATCGTACTTAAATAAACGACTGGGATTCAACAAAATTAATGTACATCAAAAAGAACATATTACATCAATAGCATTATCAAAAAATGGTTCTGTTTTCCAAAACTAATTAATACATGTACCTGGACTTCAAAGGTACTACTTAATAATACTTGTTCTGCCGATTCAATTTTATTAATCTTTTACAAAATGTGACAAATACAGTCTTTTTTTAAATTATGAAATGAAATCGAAAAATATTATAGCAGATTTTGTTTTAAAAATGGTTGGTGAAAAACCCAGAGAGGCATATCAATATGCCACCATATAAGAGATTTATTTGCCGCTCAAATATCTTATGCTTTGAACTAGAAGCTATAAATCAAAGTATTATTATTCTATTGAATACTTTTGATGTTGATATTGATCTGCAAAAAGAAATCAAATCATTTTTTTCAATTTCCGACAAACTTTGTGTAGCAACACATTGTGGAGAAAACAGAAGAGTAGTTATGAAACCGAAGGATAATATTATTATACAATTAATATCAATACCTCGAGGTGAATATTATTTGAGACATAATAATAATTATGATATAAAAGTTAGGGAATGTGTAGATACATTGTACCTTTTAATATTTATACTTGTTGGTGTAGAGTTCATAATGAAATGATGATTGCATTCAGGTAACTTTTTACTTTTAGGCATATAGGTCTTAGATCTTCAAGTAGTTTCAGCAACAGACAGCCAACCTGTAAAATAAAACAGAATTATGCTGGAAAAATGGCATGGAAACTTAGTTAAATTAATAACAAGAAAAAATTACATTACACGGTGATGATTACAATTTGTTAATTTCTGCTCTCAGTTATGGCGAACAGAAAGAAATGTATTAAAATAACTGCAAAATAAGAGAAACTTAACTGAAGGTAATTTTTATAAATCCTCTGATTCGATTAACCAAAATGTTTAGTTAGATAAAATCAATGGGACAGACCAACAGGAGTTATTCACAAATTAATACGACTCTTGAAGATTACAGTAAAGGTCAACTATAACTGGAGAAAACAATTGTTGACAAAAGGAAATGTTACAAAATGTATAACACTACAACAGAAAAATGAACAAATTACAACATTTTGAGAGTAAAATTATAATTATAATACGAATAAATATATCTCTATATATAAAGGAAAGTGTACTTCAACAATAATCAACGCAGAGCCGAACCTATTCGAGTTATCAAATTGAAATTTTGAGAATATATTAATATTATAATGCCAAGTTCCACCAAGAAAGAATTTTTCGAAATTCGACCTCTAAAGGGGTAAAATGGGTTTTTTTATATAGCTATATAATACACGGGCAACTGCAACGTCGTGGCGGGACAGCCAGTATTACATAAAATATAAATCAATTGAATTACTCAACACAAACATTTATTTTAATTAATTATTACAATTTTATTTACAGCACCTAATTGCAAATAATTATTAGGTTACTTAATTTTTATATAAACATACAATCATACTATGTACAACAATAGTTTTCACATTTAAACATTTTATAACTGTACGGTACATAAACTGTATAAAGCAACGGCCAATTTGTCGGCACTACGCGCATCCACAGCAGAACACACGCCTAAAATTGTTTTTGAACACGGAACCAAAGTGAACGGCGACTAGGGTTGACAGTGTTCGCGGGTGTGACCACCATGCCTGTATCTTGGTGTCTCGCCCAAACGACTGGCTTCAAGACATCGGCTCTGTCGGAATTTTCGAATCTATACTTGGAGTACTGCGCTAGTGCGCTAGACAGTGCTTGAACATTCATTGTAAGCGTTATCAACTCAATATTCGGCAAGGAATTATTAAGTTCCGTCAGCCGACCTGCATTGTTATTTTTCACACGTATTCAAATCCATTTCGTTTATTGAAATATGGAAGACGCATGACACATGAATGCTGATTAGGGCTGACCGCGTTCATGGGTTTTACAATATCACTATAACATTTGGTCTCAAAATGCAGCATTTAGCCAGTCGACCCACAACGTTATGGCTTGAACGTATCTTTGACAAATGTAAATTCACAGCGTTTGAAATAATTGAAGACATGATAATATAATATGACAACAATTATAGTTGGTTCGCTGTACATGCTTAATAACCAATTCGTTATAATAACAATTAAACAATTGTAACACGACTGACATATTATTAAATCCGCTAATTAACCATTCCCATGAAAAATTCATTTGTATGAGGTGACTACGTATGAAATAGATAAATCAATAGTAATATAAATAATCAAATTTTACATGTTAATAAAACTGTGATTTTTTAAAAGTTTTTAAGGGAAAAATGTATGTTAGCCTGCTTGGTGGAACACCGTCACCGTGTATACATTATGTATTTTAATCATTCATATTATCGAGATGGTTTAACTAGAAATGCAAAACTTTGTTGCACGTCGTTATGCACTCCACATGTATACCTTAGAGCTTAGATCATAAACTAAGATCTAAGGATGGACCCATATCTCGATAATTTAAAGCATAAATATTAGCGACAAGTCTCTTTATTAAACCAAAAATATGTGAATACGTGTAAAGAATTGTCACTTTTATTATTTATTTATATATTTCAAATTCATGTAAAATATAAATACAAACCACTCAGTGACCAACAGCTAAAGTATGCGCACAAAGTTTCTAATTCAATGACTTGTCGCTTATTTCATATTTGTGAGTCAAATTGTCTCGTATTATTATAATAATTAAAAATTAATAATATAATAAATACAATATTTTTGGAATTTAAAAAAATCCAATTAGATTAACATACCGGAGTACTTCATAGTAAAAAAAAATAGGTACTTTAATATTATTATAAATATATCATAATTCACAATAGATATTTAGGGAGTAAAATAGGCTGACAGACCGTCTTCGCTCAGAATAATTTTTGTGTAAAGTGATGTAAAGTACCTATCATTTAATTCATATTTAACACTCACATTACACTATGTTACAGTGACTTACTTCATAATGGCGAGATATACTTGACACCTACGACTATACAGTAGAGCGGTTATCTATCCCCCTTTTTGACTACCTAATTAATTAATTTTGAGAATACATACTTAATTTATTATTTTTTGATTAAACTTAAGTCATTGTTTAGTCCCTTCACATTTTGCTTATATACAATAAAATTATGTACTGCATTTTGAATCGTGCACCAGCTAAACATAACGTAGGTATGTAACTACTAATTATGTATTTATGTGCAAGTTTGTGGTGACGGAGTCCTATGTAGTAGATAAGGTGATAACCCGTGCAAAATGAGCGGAACGATACCAAACCTTATCATATTAACATGTAAACGGTATTCGTAACTTACTCGTCTCACTCTATATATTTTTCAATTGTACACAAAACAAACAGGAGATAATATTAATTAGTGATTAATATAACTCAGGTCCACTGGAGTGGTTTGTCTATTTTAATATTACACACACCGACCGCAGTTTTGAGACCAGGCCTAACGTAATCGTCGATGGTGGTCAGTCAACATTCTATACAATTTTACCTATAAAATTCTAAGATATAAGTAAGTTTAGCAGCATTCGATTTGGAGTTATTCGCTTTCGAGCAATGCGCCTTGAAACTGCCACGGCGTGGCTTCTTTGGCTTTGGCTACTGTCCACGTTCGTCTGCAAATGTTCGGCAGCAGTAAAGGTAGGCGATGGAGGCCTACTCCTGACACCCCTAATACGGGCTGGTCGAATCGACGAGGCTCGGGCTGCGTGCAATGTAACGCCCCTGAAGGGGGCCATCGAGAGCTACTCCGGTTACCTGACCGTAGACGAGGCACACGGTTCCAACTTGTTTTTCTGGTTCTTCCCCGCCGCGAGCGGAAAAGCATATGCGCCTGTTCTGCTGTGGCTACAAGGAGGCCCGGGCGCGTCATGCCTGCTCGGTGTGTTCAATCTGAATGGCCCGTTCTCGGTGTGTAAGTGTTGTGGAGGTGATCTCAAGTTGCGCGAGCGTGACTACGCGTGGACGAGTACGCACTCGGTGCTGTACGTGGATAACCCGGTGGGAACAGGCTTCAGCTACACCGGTGACGATTTCGGTTACAGTACCAACCAAACAGACGTCGCCCGGAACATGTACTCTGCCCTGGTGCAGTTCTTCGAGCTGTTCCCCGAGTACCAGCGCAACGATTTCTATGTTACTGGTGAATCGTTCGCCGGCCACTACGCGCCTTCCGTGTCGTACGCTATTCACCAGAACAACCCTGGAGCCAAGGTCAAGATCAACCTCAAAGGGCTAGCTATCGGCAACGGTCTGGTCGACCCTCTCAGCCAACTTTTCTACAGCGAGTACCTGTACCAACTTGGGTTCATTGACGGTAACGTTTTATAATTATTTTATATGTTACTATATCGTCCACGTTTTTCTCATACATATAACCATATTACAATATTGAAACCGGGAAAAATGTAGAAAATAATATATAATCTATTTGGATTTTACAGTGACATGCAATATATTATAATAGAAAACTAGGTACCTATCATTTCAATAGTACTGCCAGTGTATGTATATCGTATATGGAATGTCAAATTGTCTAATAATTCATAATTGTAACTTTTAGATTGGTGATTAATACTATCTTTGTCGATTATTTTAGTTGAGATCGGTCACCGTGATTAACTTATTTTAGATTTTGAGTGGAGCGATAAATGTTTTCCACATAAATTGTTGTTATTGTTGAATCCACAATAGTTTTATATGAGCGTCTGAATTGAATTTTGATAAAATTCATCAAAATCATGAAAATTGGCAAATTATTTCGAATGAGAAATTTATAAAACATTTACATTTAAATGAATATTCCCCTTCAGTGTTTCAACATATACTAAAAAACAGTTTTTTGGAAAGTCAAATTAATTTTTCGCGAACGTTTGAAATTAGAAATTGAATATTCACCTGTAAATAACTTTATCCTATTTTGTATTTATTCCAAAACTTATGTCATAATTTATTTATACTTATCATTTTCTTCGCATGATCAAAGTATCATTATATTTTGCTTTGTTTTGAATTTTTTAGAGACATTTGAAATGTGTCACTTTTTTGGTTTTTTATTCTATAAATATTAAATGTCGATAAAATGTTATTTGTTCGATCAAAAAGCTTGAAAATCTAATGCAAGGTTTGGTTTCTCATAAGTAATTATCATAGCAGTTGAGAAGTATTACAGTTCCATAGGCATTTGTTTTGGAAATATTTAAACTTCAAATTTTGATAAAATGTATAGCAAAAATCTTGAAAATGTTCAAAATTGATGTAGGTAGTCAAAATAAATTAAAATTTTTAATTTTTATAGCTAAAGATTGAAAATTCAGAACAAAGATTCTATAGTTCATACTGTAACCGTAAATCTAAAAAAATATATAAACACAGTTTTATTTTACAGACATTTTTGGTTCAAATTTGGACAAAATTACATATTAATTAAACAATAACGGTTTTAATTATTTTATTGTAATTTAAAAATATTATTTTTGGGTGTATAATACTTTTAAAGTGTATTATTATATTTTGTACACACAATGATATTATTAAATGTAATTTTTTTGGCAATAATGTTAACTTAACCTACTGGCTAGGCTACTGTTGTACTGATGCCTAATAGTGAAATAGATTATTATTACTTTAATCACAATAATCATCAATATATCATCAAATATAGATACTTATTAATATTAAATGCTGACGACCGTCTTCGCACAGGATCGTTTTCTGTATATATTTACCTAATGCATAAAAAAAACAAATTCAAATTTTACATTATCCATTGCAGTGACTCACTTGTAATCTAATGTACAGCTGAGCAACACCTACTTCTCCGCTTTTCTAATATTGCATAATAACTAATAACTGTATGTGCACAAAGTGTAACGTCATGTGGCATATTGTCATCTTTTCAAATTTTTGTTTCATCAGTTCTTTTGTCAACAAATGTTAAATGTACTTTAAAATAATTGTATAAACTGGATGGATGGTCGTTATTTAAAACGTATGAATCAACATTTTCAGATGCAATACAAATAGTATATAATTTAATTAAAATGATTCTTAAAAAATCAGTTAGTTACCTATTCCTAAAACAGTGTTTACTTTAGAGTTTAAAGGTAATGTATAATATAATAACCAAAAGGAATATGAAAATATTTATAATATCGATTTAAAACGGTTACAGAATACGGAAAGCACAGATTCGAACAAATTGATAACGTTATTCGCTCTCAGATCCTCGGCGGCGACTACGAGGGCGCATTCCGGACGTACGACGAGATGTTGAACGGCATATTCTATCCGTACCCGACGCTGTTCCAGAACTTGACCGGCATGCAATACTACTACAACTTGCTGTTGGACCGGAAACCGCCGTCGGAAGACGATTGGGTGCAGTTCGTGGAAAAACCATCATTGCGTGCCGCGTTACACGTGGGCCAACGGCCGGTTAAATTTCTAAACAAGGTGGTCTATCGACACATGCTTGGCGACGTGATGCGGTCGGTGGCCCCGTGGTTGGCCGCCTTATTGGATGCTGGACGCTATCGGGTTCTGTTGTACAGCGGGCAGTTTGACATCAAGTACCATTACAGGGGCATCATGCGCATGGCCCGGTCGCTCGAGTGGTCGGGAGCCGATCGATTCCGCAACGCAGCGGTGCGCACCATTTGGCGAGTTCGTAAACAGAAGAATCGACGCGATGACGGTAACGAGACCTCCTTGGCTGGTTACGCGACCGCTTCCGGTCCGCTAACCGTTGTGTTGGTCAGGGATGCCGGTCACATGGTGCCAGCCGATCAGCCGATGATTGCTCTCGACCTCATCAACCGGTTCACGACTGGCAAAACGTTTTGACCAACAAGAATCGGTCAGCATCTTTAGCGACATTATTTTATTACAGTTGAGTTGTTGTCATATGCTTTATGCACTCACAAGCCCTTGAATCATATCTAACAACCTAAGCATAGGTCCTGGGAATTCAATTCGGACCTGAGATAGAGGGTGGTAGTATAAATGATAACTATATGATATAAAATTATAAAATATATATTGTCACTTAATAACTATCATGATTCATGTACAATTTGTGTAACTAGTTTTCCCAAATTTTTTCGAGGAACCAAAAACTGTTTTTTTTTTAAGAATTCTGAAAAGTAGTGTATTTCTGAACAACTATTCATTTTTTACTGCGTGTGTGCATTGGTTCATCAGACACCCAATTAAGCGCTTTCAAGATTTTTAATGTTGGTAATGTAGGCAGGGCCGGACCATGAGTATAATATCTATGGTTATGATACAGCCAATATTAAATATTGTACCGTAAATAAATACGATATAATTAGTGCCTTAAAAATACATAATTATATTTATAAGCTACAGTCTAGTCTTGATAATTTAGATTTAAAATCTCGATAACTGCATTTTTTTCTTGATCCTTGAATATTTCTTTAAATTCAATGCTGCATATTTAATAAAATGTGAACATCGTCCTTAACACAATATGGATGATATCAGTTTAGTAGTGGTCCAACAATATTTGAAGTTTTTTATTTTAACTGTCCTAATTTCATGTGTATTTGTAATTTATTATTGTATGTAGTTAAGTATAGGTACTAAATGTGAAATTGTTACTATGTATATTGTATAGTCATATTTTCGATGTACTGCACAATTAATAATATTTTAATATATTTGTGATTTAACCAATAAATTAGTATAATATAGTAACTATTCAAGTATACAATTTAAAATAATGTTCCCCAGTTCAAGGACAAATCGGCGTCAGTATATATTTAGCTTTTTGATTTAATTCCACCTAGATGGGCAATCACAAGTCGCGGATTGTAATCAGCACTTGGTATATTGTTTAACGTGGTTTAAACTTCTTGCTCTCTAAACCATTTTGACATCTCTAAAAACATTCTTCAAGTATATGAGCTACACACAATCAATTTGGCTTTGAGGTATAGTTTCTTTATTCAAGGTCACAAGAGCGACGATTTGATGCATGCTTATACCTGATCTGCCCAAGTAACCAATGTTAACCATTTATAATATACAAAAAAAATTTGAATTTCCAGCATGAATCACAATATTATCCTTTTCGACCAACTCTTTAAAATGCAAATATTGGATAATTCTTTCTCATTGCTCATCTAGATCATTAATGGAATTACAGTTCCATGTTTAAAGTTGGTAAGTTTCGTAGTTTTTAAAATGTACCAATGAATGAGTGAGTGAGTGGTTTTTGGCGTATCTCCTATTGGCTATTATCTATGTTTAAAAGGATAAGGTGACTGTCTGGCAGACTGATCTATCAACTCACAGCCCAAACTACTGGACGTATCGGGATCGACCACGTTCGACCAGGCAGTTTTATGTCGTCGTCACTATAGCTTGATATACGACGGTACGAACGGCTCGCTGAACCAGACCAGAGCACCAGACTAATAAGGGCTTCGCCGCCGCGGGAAACAAGGTCGTACGATACCCGGAAACCGATGGATTAGGCAAGGCTCCTGGGATAGCGATAGTCGTGTGGAGCTCGACCTTGTCCCGTTATCTCGGCAAAAAATAGCATATTTGGTACATGTATATACTATATATGTATGTGTCCGACCGTCCCAGCGTATCAGTCACCAACAAATAGTATGGAAAAGTCCTATGAAATTGAATGCACGTGCGGGAGTTATTTATTTATTTTATACATTGGCACTCACATTAATGATCACTTACTACGCCGCGCATGTTGTTTTACACGACTCGATGGCATACACATAGAAAATTGCCTATATTAAACTCCTTAGAAACGATCGGTATTCATACTCCTAAAGAAATTAAGCAACAATACAAAGAAATCAAGAAAACATGTAATTATAGCATGTCCTTACCCGTAAAATATGCAGACATATGCAAAATAAGGTTTCATATTTTAACTACAAATAAGTCTAAACAAATTTTGGTGAATCCATTTTTTTTTTACAGTGGCTATAACATAAAAAAAACACGCAAATGGATTACATTTGCAGTCCAGATTATCAGTTTCTACTGTTATTTGTTTTTAATTACAATAAAATATTCAAAATTAATTGATGGGAATTCATTAATTTACCGGCGATTGGAGAAATTTCAATATCATAAGCATCATTAAAATACTCATTAAAAATTAATGTTACTTTTTGGTAAACTTTTCTTTTTTGAATTACAAGTAGGTACTTTAATACAAACTTATGTGGTTCCAACCTTATATTACATTTGCAAGTTTTTTAATGGAACAAAAAATGATTTATTGATAGTAATTGAAAAAAAAACTTTAAAGAATCTAACATTTTTAATTTCTATAAATGTCTCAAATAGAGTCAAGCAATTTTTAAACTTTTATTATAATACATGTGAAATGGTCATAAATCATAATAAAACTTTTGGTGGAAATTTATAGTATCTACGGTTATAGCTTGTCGAGTTACGCCAAAATGACAAAATTGAATTGTCAAATACTGGAGTTATTTAGTGTAAAAAATCCGGTTGTTCATCAATTTTTTACTTTTGACCTTCTTAATTAACTGGATATATTATATTTCTTAACTTCTTTCTTCCCGACCAAAAACTGGAAACTGGTTGGGAAGTGTTTAACATAATACTGACACCGTACCAAACCAATGTCGTTTTGTGTCTGAATATTTTTTTCTTATTCTTGTTTATGTTGATAATAACTCATCAGGTTATTAATTAATAATTTTTGTTTAATACAAATCATTTAATTCAACAACTCAACGCATTTTAAGGTAATCACGCTACTCCCTAAGCCACAACATGGCGTAGATGGTCGTGACGAAGATATGGCTCTAGCCAGTTACGCGTCAGGGCGGGTAGGGTCTTAGAACTAGACGGAAAAAGAAATTTAAATATATCAAGTCAAAGTAACCAGTTTAGCGATGGACACACAAATCTTTGATCATAATATATACCCTATATGCAGCTTATATTTAACCTTGTACAAGATTGATTATATATTTTTTTTGATTCCGATACTGTAAATAAATCGGAGACTCATTGTATTTATAACAACATAATAACTTAAATGTTACCTTACATTTTTTTTATTTTTTCAAAATGTTGATTTTGGAACTTCTTTAGCTGTTATTCAATTCTATAAAATATTAGCCAATGTTAATCACCTTGAATTATTGGTTAAAGACAAGTGCACAATAGCTACATTTTTTTTCTTGACTTTTTCGGCAAAATTGTGTATGATATCTTCGTAGTTTATTTTTGAGCCAAGCTGATTTTCAATTGTTAAAAGCGCAAGTAAATTAAACCATTCTCTGCCTGTTGATGCATTCTATCGAATCTTAAGAGGACCGTCGTACCCGAATATGTTGTATCCATCTTACTAACGCAAAGATACTATACCAAAATGTTTATCCAGCAGTTCCAATTTTGTATTGTTACCTTAAATATTAGGATAAATTGACTTATTATCAAACATAAATGTAAAATAATTATCTGTTTTTCCCTCATGATTTTTTAAGATATTTTAATTTTTAAGTGAGTTCTGAGTAAACATGTAAAATAATAATATTTGAAAATATAATATAATTCACTTGAAAATTAAAACGAAAGAACACAGATCATTTAAAGTTGATAATTAATTAACTCGTTCTAATATTTAAGATAACTATACAAAATAACTGTTGGACGTAAATTTTGATGTATTAGTATGCTTTAGTAAGGCGAAGATTACACACGCGGGAAGACATGCGGTGATTGACTGCACAAAAAACTCATCAAGCAATAAAAGTATTTATAAAAATATTTATAGTATATAGTTTATATATATTTATGTATAATATTTATATAGCTCCATAGTTTTAATGGAGGCATCTTGATTTCCATTCGACAAAAACTATTTACTCAAAAACCAGTTGTTGACTACCCTTCGACAGCAACACTAAACATTTAATTTTTTTTTAATGTTTTTTTAATAAATGTAATAATTTTACCTGACCTTGGGTGTCCAGGCTTCCGGACCATAATACTCACTGGCCACGCCCCCTTGATATAGTTATATAGAGATTGCATTTCAATAGAGTAATTCCATTTGACATCCACGAGCTTCAGCTCTCAGCGCTCCGATACCAAAGCATCACTCATTTGTATTTAAGATACCTCTTGTACTTTACAATCAAACTTAAAAAATACTTCGTGGTACAGGCCGGCGTGTAACCGTACTATTTAATGTCATTCTATTCATTCATCAGTTCCTAAATAGAAATTCGCCCAGTTTTACGTAAGTTTTGTATTCGAGCGATGCGTCTTAAAACTATGTCAGCGTGGCTACTTTTGCTACTGTTCACGTTCGTCTGTAGTAGTTCGGCGGCAGTGGAGGTAGGCGATGGAGGCCTTCTCCTGACACCCCTAATACGGGCTGGTCGAATCGACGAGGCTCGGGCTGCGTGCAATGTGACACCCCTGAAGGCGGCTATCGAGAGCTACTCCGGTTACCTGACCGTGGACGAAGCACACGGTTCCAACTTGTTTTTTTGGTTCTTCCCGGCCGTGAGTGTAAAAGCGGACGCGCCTGTTCTGCTGTGGCTACAGGGAGGCCCAGGCGCGTCAAGCCTGCTCGGCGTGTTCAATGTGAATGGCCCATTCTCGGTGTGTAAAAGCTGTGAAGGTGAGCTCCATTTGCGTGACCACGCGTGGACAAGTACTCACTCGGTGCTATACGTGGACAACCCAGTGGGAACAGGCTTCAGCTACACTGGTAATGATTCCGGTTACAGTACCAGCCAAACAGACGTCGCCCGGAATATGTACTCCGCCTTGGTGCAGTTCTTCGAACTGTTCCCCGAGTACCAGCACAACGATTTCTACGTGACCGGCGAGTCGTACGCGGGCAAGTACGTGCCAGCCGTGTCATACTTCATTCACCAGAACAACCCCGGGGCCAAGGTCAAGATCAACCTCAAGGGGCTGGCTATTGGTAACGGCCTGGTCGACCCTCTCAACCAGCTGTTCTACAGCGAATACTTGTACCAACACGGTCTTATTGACGGTAACTTCATATTATTATGATTTTTGGTACTTTATGTCTCCTATGTTGTTTCCATACAAATAATAATTTAGAATGAATCAGATAAAAAAATCATTAAATCATTAATATTCCAAACACTTATACCCACGTGGTTAAAAGACAAAACTTTCTTAAGAAGAAAATATTTATAATATCGATTTAAAACGGTTACAGAATACGGAAAGGACAGATTCGAATAAATCGATAATGTTATTCACGCTCAGATTCTCGGCGGCGACTACGAGGGTGCGTTCCGGACGTTCGACGAGATGTTGAACGGCAGATTATACCCCTACCCAACATTGTTCCAGAACCTGACTGGTATGCGATACTACTACAACTTGCTGTTGGATCTACCACCGCCGTCGGAAAATGACTGGAAGGCGTTCGTGCAAAAGCCGTCCGTGAGGGCCGCGCTGCACGTAGGCCAACGGCCGCTGAACAACTTTCATTTGGTCTATCAACACATGTTTGGAGACTTGATGCATTCGGCGGCCCTGTGGTTGTCCGCCCTATTGGACGCTGGACG